AAAGAATGCTTGAAGTGTCTTTTTATGACTGATCGTATCAGCAGGAGAATGAATGACTACTTGGGCAACCTCTGAAAAAATGGCCAGATGTGGTGGGTGCTATCTGAAGATATGTAGCCCAGGTTGGGAAGGCCTGAAATAGTTGTAGCCAGAATAGGGAAGCACCACAGTTATGAAATTTCCACACAGATTGTCGGTGCATTCTTGTTATTTGAATATTTTATGATATTTTTATTTTCTTTCAAATGGATGGCCCTGAATTTTTCAGGCATGCAGCTGTGATGAATTAGGTTCGGAAGGTATTCACTGTGATATGCATACTGGGCAGTGTGCATGTAAACAGGGTGTCACAGGTCTGAAGTGCGACAAATGTGCTCCGAACCATTTTGGATTAGATGCGGATGGTTGCAAAGGTTTATTTCGGCTTTCCTTTGAAAAACTTACGTGAGCTACCAAAAACGGCGCAGTACCAATTTTAGGAATTTAGCCTAAAATCCAGGACCTGATCAAGTCCATAACTGCATCGTAGTAGTAATTTTACGAATATGGTACTTTCACATAGTTTGTGGGGCGACCTTGGCAATCCTATTATTTTTATATATATCGAAGGGTTAAGTTTACTCATGATTATTGGCCAAATTATACAGATCGAAGGGAACGGCACGGCTCGTTCTTCAGTAATATCGCTAACACACCTATCCCCACACCTGCTGTTCAGCAGTTTTATACTCTTGACCTCTATATTTTGCAAATTTACTTTTAAAATAGTTTTTTTTTTCTTCAGAGTGCCAAATATGCCCAGCACCTGGTCACGTCTGTGATCCAGTAACAGGAGATTGCGTGTGTCCACCGAATACGGTCGGCGCAATGTGCGAAACTTGCACGAAAAACGCATGGAACTATCATCCTTTGAACGGCTGCACGCTCTGTGATTGCTCCGGCGTTGGTGCCGATGGACCGAACTGTGATCCTAAAACTGGACAGGTAACATATACTACAAAAGGGCCTCTTCCTGTCTCGGTAGTGGCCACTTGTTTCTGTGCAGGTTTTGTTACGATTTCTTGAAAAGCAAGTTAAAGCGCTTAGTTGCTTAAAATTGAAAAAGAAAAAATTCGGGCTTCTAAAATGGTGTGCCACCTGTTATAAGACAAACATCTGGGCCGAAACATTTCAATTCGGGGCTCCTTTTCCTATTTCTTTTTCTAATTCTCATTGTATTCGTTACTAATTATCACTATAATTCATAAGATTAGTTATCATATCACTTGGACTAGTTATTATAAATTGTCATAATTTAGTGTTAAGTAATGAGGTGAAATAATGGAATAGGTGGTAAGGAATCAACTTAAGCATAAATGTGCAAGAAGGCACTTTTGGATACAGGTGAATCAAGAACATTCCTGGACATTTAGCTCTACACATTATGCACTAAACTATTTCACGTTTTTCCATTTTGAAGTTACTTTTTTGTGTAAATTTGCACTAGGACAGGTTCGCTTTATATACGTTACTAGACTAAGCTCAAGAAGCCGTTAATTCGGCCAGCATTAACTAAAAAGATAGTTTTTTTAGTGCAACTGTCGAGTGGGATTTGTTGGTCTAAAATGCGACCGTTGTACTTTTGGGCACTTCAGTTTCCCAGAATGTGAACCGTGCAATTGTGATATGTCGGGAACCGATCCAGCAAGCTGCAAAAAAGGTGTTTGCCCTTGCGATGAGCAGGGTCAATGTAATTGTAAGGTAAGTTCAACTGTAAATTTCTCTTAAAAATTGCTTACGCTAACAAAAATTGCTTACCCTTGGTAACTACTGAAAATGCGGCGCAACTTCAGTAACTAACTAAAATTTACTCATTTTGCAACACGAACTGTAGTATTCTGGGCCTAAAGCAGCTTGATGACAAAGATCTGTGGTCTTTCCATCTGAGTCTGCTTACAGTTTGGAGGTTAAATACTTTAAATCCTTACCGACAATTTCGAACCAATACTGGTGTGGCTAAATCTGGCGTGTCTGATTATCACCACTTGAGACGATTTTTGAAGCACTCTGTGTCCCTCCTTCCCCATAAAACACTCCAAAAATTGTATGAAGTGGGCACTTAAAAAGTAAATTGTATTGGAGAATATCGATTTCATCAAGTAACTTTGTTTTTATATATAAGTAAATAAACTCAAATAAATTGTTTTTTAAAAAAGCGTAAAAACAAATGGACAAACACTACTTCCTCATTATGTTTATTTGTTACCACTCGCTAGTGTAGCAGCACGACAAATGCCAAATTAAATTATATTAAGAAGCAAAACTGTCAAGAGAAACTTTATAAAAAGAATGCTAAAAACACAGGAAAGACCGCTAATTCAATGAAATGATCCGTTTTTGAATGACTGCATGGGACTGTGTGCCTCAGAGATTACGTTAAATAAATTTAATTCAGAAACTTTTCAGAAGAATGTAAAAGGCCTGAAATGCGACACGTGCGATGCTTATAGCTTTAGCCTGGAGAAATCAAATCCATTGGGCTGCACGGATTGCTTTTGCTTCAACCGGACCAACTTCTGTGTTCAGAGCAGTCTTGTCTGGCAGCAAGTATATGCTCCCGATCGACAGGTTCAAAGATTCAACTTTCATTTGACTTTAGATTATGTTTTGCAAATTTTTTTAAATTTTAGATTTTGCAAATTTGTTTCTCTTAATTGGTTTAACAAAAACTTCTTGATCTGACTAAAGGAAAGCATAAACAATGGAAAATTCAGCTTCAGAATTTCTTCACCACTTTTTTGTATTTTAAAGTTGCTCACTAGAATCGATCAACCAGCTTAAAACACATTTTTCCAGGCCAAAGGAGTTTTTAAAAAATGCAAAAAATTATCTTGATTTTTAAGAGATAAAAAGTGGCTTTTTATTAAATCAATTCAAACCCTTTTATATTTGTTTCTGTTAAAGGAAATTCCTTTTGTGATAGCTTGAAATAACATCAGCTGACATAACTGTTGGTTTCATTCTCTGCCAAGAGCCAGAACTTCATTTAAAATGTGCATCTTGAAGAAAACAGACGTTTTGTTTTACTTTTGTTTAGGTAACTTTCTCGGAACCATGGCAATATTACATGCGCAGGCATAATCTAAATGTGCTCAAAGAGCTTCCACTCAAATATAACAGCTATCCAACGGACATTACTCCTCTTTACTGGTAAGAAAAGTTACTCTTTGCACAAAAAGTAGGAAGGCATCAAGAATACCAAGACCGTTCGGGCAAGTGGTACTGGATTCCATTTTAATCATGCCACAGGAATGCTCACAAACGCCAGCTTCAGCTATGTCGGGCTTTTTAGTCCTGACCTGCATTTCTTTACTTGGTACCTACGCCTGTTCAATGTATTTGTGTTGTTCCTGTAATCATTATTTTCAATAACCGGTAAGATTGTTGTAATATGTTTGTGACCAGTTGAAAAATCGAATATTTGAATGATTTTGTTTCGAAACCAAATTCAAAATCGAACAAGAATTTCAACTTGAAGTTAACGGCAGACGCTTTTTCACCCAGAGCATTCCAAAAGCCTTACTCAGGAGTTTGCACAGTTGGTTTTGCTGAAATCGGTGAGGTAAGTGCTGTAAAATACAGTTGAGGTAATTGTAACAAGGTAGCGATTTAGGTTCGTTTTCAATGAAATTCAGTGAAATGCTAGAAAAGTATTACATAATTAATATAATTCTAGGCCTCTTCCACATAGTCTTCTGGGTGATCGAATCGCATCATACAACGGATTTATTCGTTTCAAAATCGAAAATGATGATAATTATCGCGGTATTCAAAATGTTCCACCTGATGCTCAGCATTTCCGCTTTTTCCCGCAAGTTGTATTGGTAAGATTTTAATAATGTCTTTGGTGAGGTAAAAAGTAAAATTTGTTTGGAAATCAGTGAGTATTGACATTTCATTATAAGATGTAAAGTACACAACAATTTAACTTTCGAGTCTTAATTATCTAGAATACTTTATTGATTGTCAGCTTTTCCATCTGTGCATTTGGCGGCAGCTTTAGCCAGCCTGTTAGCAGTTCTGGCGTCTGCTTCTCTTAATTGACAAATTCAGCATTTTTCGACAAGGTGTTAAGGTACTGATTTTTCTTCGCCTTGATCTTAGACGCTGTGAGGTGCCTTTGAGTCTTCTGTGTTCCGCTTCTTATGTACCAAGCGCATGACAAGTGTTTATGCTTGTGCGTGTGTGTGTTCTCCTGGCAACTGAACGAAACGTGAAGGCTGTTCCTAGACCTTCATTACGTGGATGTAGCATTACCGCCTTATCTCGAATATCATCAGTTCTAGGCCACAGTGAGTACCATACCGACTAGGAATTTTTATCTTCAATTGAAGATAAGTAACTCTAATTAGTTAGCTTTTTATTTCACTCTTTGTGGTTTGGCAACATCTGAAAGTGTTCCGAGCGATTCACCAACGAATCTTTCGGTAATTTGTATTTTTTACGAGGACATTTGGAAAATGAGCTGAGCTCTTAAAAATGACGTTTTATCTTCTCAGTTATACTAAGTACACCAACGCAAGGACCAGCATAAAAAACTTAACGAATTGTAAAGGAATTTGGCTTTTCCCGGTAGCACATTTGAACTGTGATCTTGAGCTCAAGAATCAGTGCTAATGTTATCGTAAGCCTGCCAGTTTTTTTTTTATTTATTCGGATTTACTGAATTTATAAAAACAAAAATTTTGAGGTGGGAAATCACCGTATTATTCTCGAGCATACTTCTGAAGTAATCAACGATTTGGGGCGTTACAAGGTACGGTTGCATGAAAGCCAGTGGCGATCTCGGCTGAGTCCTGAAATTCCGGTCACACGCAAGCAGCTAATGGTCGCATTGCAAAATGTCCAAGGAATCTATATCAGGGCTACATATAATTATCCATCAAGGTTTTTTTAAGAATTTTCCTGACAAGTGGAGTATCTTTCTAGGATTCATCACTTTTTAGCATTGCTTTTTCGGATCTCTCGAAATCTGTTTAACTTCCAGCGCCCTCCATGTACATTTCAGTATCAATTCTTCGGACCTTTGGTTTTTTTCAGAGGCGATACAGCTTCAATGCGCGAAACCAGCATTGACGTTGCAGTATGGGAAAATACGACGGATTCGGTTAATTCAACAGCAATAGGTGTAGAAATGTGTGAGTGTCCACAGGGCTATGCGGGTAACTCGTGCCAGGATCCTGCAGAAGGTTACTGTCGTAAAAGGCAACCTGATTTTCTGAATAGTCCGGATGACCTGGCCCTGGTTGGTGGGCCTCAACCGTGCGCATGTAATGGACATTCGACAACATGTGAAATCGAAACGTGCAGGTGTACGGTGCGTAAAGTTTACCTAGTTGTGTTTTTAGTACTTTTAAAAACGTGTGCTACAGCACAATGCACAAAACCACCATCACAAAACCCTTACCGGAAAGATCACTATCGTAAACACCCTTGGAGCCCCAATACTTTTAAAAAGAATATTTTTAAAAAGGGAATTTGCCTGAGATGGATCAAATTTTGGTCTAATTTCTATGAGTTTGCTTCTAATTCCGGAAGAACATTTAGCATTCATCCGGAAATTTTGAATGTCAACTTTTCTGAAAAAAAACTTTATTTTGATTTCATATTTTATCTAATAGTAATTTTTCCGTAGCATAGTCGAGGATCGAAAGGCCTGGCTTAGCTGCATCGGGCATGTGAGAGCATCTCAGTAAAATAACTAACACGGATATCCACAATGATAAACCTTAGCACTGTTGGTATCCTTGACAAACTTTATCAATACTAGTGTATCTACAAAAACTTACGTGCTTACCAACCTAAGATACAACACACAGTGGTTTCTGGTGATCTTGGTTTTTCTTTTCTCGCCTTCTTTCCCTGTTTTCGTGGAAGACTTGCTGTGTGGTACTTCAGCTCGTTTATTAAAAATTGTTTCTTGCACCCTCTTTAATGAAAAATAACTGCCTGAAACTCGGTTATATCAATGATAAAAAGAAAAGAGATAATAAAAATCAAAGCATGTGCTGTTCTCGGGTGCGGTAGATCCTTTTTTTGACTTCCGAAAAATTGCCGTTTTATTTTTAGAACTGCGAACACAATACATTCGGCGATTATTGTGAATTGTGCAAACCTGGATATCAGGGCGATGCATTGGTTGGTGGTGCAGATGCATGTACAAAATGTGCATGCCCCTTAGCGGATAACAGCTTCAGCGATACCTGTGTAGCAACAAATCATGGCCGGGGTTATGAATGCGATGCTTGCAAGCCTGGATACACAGGGCTGTACTGCGAAAGTTGCCTGAGTGGTTATTACGGGAATCCAAATGTGTTGGGAGGTTTCTGCGAGCAGTGTGCCTGCCATCGCGATGGCTCATTGGATGATACCTGCGATCAGGTAGCTTCTGAGTCGTTTTATCTATTGTTGTTGCACCGAATTTAGTAAAAAAAAATCCATCCTTAAATTTATCAGAGGAGTTTCATTTAAACCGCTTAATTCTCTATATTCATAAAATAACTGGTAATTTTGTTTGATTATTAGCTCAGAGATTTTTGGTGGGAAAGTTTTCGGACTCGCTGCATACTACATGCTTATCGCTTTCTCTTTTTAGTGCTTGTGAAGAGTGGGGTACCGAGAAAAAAACTTGAGCATTTTTCCAACAGCATTTGATAAGAAAGCTGATTTATCGGTACAATTGCGGAAAAAATCACCAATTTGACTCTGGAATGAATTAAAAAGAATCGTACAACCAAGTCTGATCCAGAGAGAGCTACCCAGAAATAAGGGATAATTAGGGTACACCAACCTTCCTTTCCCGTGACTGCTACCTACCCCGTTCCGCTCTCGATCAAGGCCACTACTTATTGTTGCAAATTAAAATTTGTTTTTTTTCTAAACATTTCTTGCATCTTATTACAGGTGACTGGTCAGTGTGCATGTCGGCCAGGAGTTACAGGACGTGACTGCTCATTGTGCCAAGCCAGGCACGCTTTTATCGGTGGTGTCTGCACATCTTGTGATCAGGGCTGTACACGGGATTTAATGCAAGAAATCGATAAGCTGGAGATGCTGATGGGTGAACAGAATTTCACAAATTTGAGGCCAATTCCCTGGAAACGAGTCGCACGAATTAGTAACACAACGAAAGGTTTCTTTTCTTAAACGCCTAAAAAAATTAAATTGAAGATTATGTCGAAAAAAAATGAAAAATTTTGGAAATTTTATGCACGGTGTTTGGGTTTCTGTCGGAAAACAGCACTTTCATTTCATCTCCGTGCTGATTTTTTGGGCAATTTTTATTTTTAGAAATTTTTTGCCAACTTTCTTCAGTTTATCAGCTACAAAAAAATCGTTGACGATATGCCAAGCGGTAAAATATAAGCCAGCAGGATTAATTATAAAACACTGTGGAAAGAGAGAAGATGAAAGTGCAAATTAATACAAAATGTTTATGTTAAAAAAATTTGAAACAAAACATGTTTTCTTATCGTTTTCCGAAAAACTTGCAGAGTTACGAGCGATTTTGGATTCGGTGCATTTGAATGGACTGATGATTCAAGATGGAGATGAATCATCGCTGGCCAGTATTGGTATTAGCGATAGCTCTCTCAGTGAAGTGAACGGAGTTGTGGAACAGGCGAAATTTTTGCTGGAACGAAGCAATAAATCAAAAAATAACCTCGAAGCAATAATTGGAGAGACTCTTGGACTCACAGAAAAAGCTCAGCAATATTCCAGAATTCTCCAAGATATTGTAAACCAGTTTCAACATTATGTTAAGTACGGTGGTAGCAAGCAGGATAGTTCGCAGATCGATGTTTGGGTGCAAGAAGCAAATGCCTATCTAGAAGCTATAAAAGAGCGCGGTATTTACATCGAAAAGAGATACAATCGTGGAACTATCGAATTTGAGTTAGTTTTTGTGTTACACCACTTTACAGCTATGATCTTCTTGTCTACCCTACTCGGCATTACAATTTTGGCTGAGCTTCTTTCGCCCTTTATTTTCATCCTATTATTAATTTTAGATAGAATTATCAAAAGGGAAAATGCACGCTACAGGTG